GTACTACTAAAAAAGTACAAAAGAAAGTCCCAACCGAAAAGGCGAAAGCGTTTCCTGAGAGGGGAGTACAAGTGGCGTTTGAAGAAAAACGTTGCTTTTGTAATGTGGCAAGATTCCAAAATGGTAACAATGTTGACTACAGCATTCCATCCTAAAACCGCGACAGCTACGTGTGAAAGGAAGCAACATGATGGTACCAGAAAAATCATCGTATGTCCGAAAGCGGTTCAGGAATACACAAAGCGGATGGGCGGAGTTGATCGGTTTGTGATCAAAAGAGAAGCACGTATGGGGTCGGTAGAAGAAGCCAGAGGTGGTGGCTGCGGATTTTCAATTTCTGCATTGATTTGGCTATTACGAATGCATACTTGTTGTATGCATCTAACAACCATGTGCGAAATCACGTGACTCAGCTGCAGTTCAGGTTGAAGTTATCACGAGACCTTGTTGGTAACTATACTTCGAAAAGGGCAGCCTCCAAGCGAACCAAGATATTCTACAAAGAAGCCTACAATGTATTCAAACTATCAAAAAGAAGGAGTACCAGATAATCTACGCTTTTCAGATGTTGGAAGTCATAAACTGGAACAGTTGGCTACCTATCGTCGTTGTCGCCTATGTAGTACAAAGGCTAAAAATAAGAGGTCCAAAATTCAATGTTCCAAGTGTAAGGTACCACTTTGCGCAACACCTTGCTTTGATTTGTTTCACGTAAAACTTAATTGAAATTGATCAATGTCTATCTTACAATTCGTTCCAAAAATAAAGTGCACCTGCAGGGCAGTGGCAAACATATTGCCACCAATATTGTTGCGCTAGTAAGGCAGTGGCAAACATATTGCCACCAAGGTTTTTGGACTTCGAAGGCAGATTCTGCTTTGACATTTAAGCTACATTACACGGATATCATAGCCAAAGCTAACTATAGACGCTATATTCATAGTCTGGCGGTAAGAGATAAACTAGCCTATGGCTAAAAATCTCTCTAATAAATGAAAAAAAAAATAGTCTGGCGGATATAATATCGATCTATCAAAAAGCGGAACCAATTCAATATATTTTAGACCAACAATTGAAAATAATTTATAAACAAAACATTGATTATTCTTTCTTCGCCAATCGAACGCAAATTACCAGCATCATCGGATAAGGGAAGCTTTCCCCAACACAAAGATGGTGTTAGTTTGCGAAGACGTGCCTTGAGTCACGAGAAAAAGGTTTCCTAAGTTTTGATCGCAATAGCTTATGTGCTCTTTTCTGTTGTAGGTCGTGATTTGTTCGATTGGTTCCGCTATTTGACAGTTCAATTGGTTCCCGAGATTCTATCCGCCAGACTATGAATATAGCGACTAAAAAGCTAACAGGCAACTCGGATTCATCTTTAAGATCTCTGATGAGTTTCGGGATCCTACCTGCCTGACAGCTCTATATTGTTCTATAGTGCGATCGATCTTGGAGTTTGGTGTAGTAGTATGGTGTCCGAATGAAACAGTTTGGATAGCGAGGATCGAGTCTGTTCAGAGGAAATTCGTTCGTTACGCTCTTCGCCATCTTCCTTGGTACGATCCTACGAACCTTTCACCCTACGAAGATCGTTGCCAACTACTGGGTATTGAAACTCTTGAACGTAGGCGGAAGATTAACCAGGCAGTTTTTGCAGCAAAAGTGCTGATAAGCGAAATCGACTATCCCGGGATTTTGGCTGAATTCGAAATCTATGCACCTGAACGAGTTCTACGATCGAGAAGTTTCCTGCATCTCGAACCCCGTGCAGCTAATTACGGATTACATGATCCAATACGGTTCATGTCTGCCCGTTTCAATGAATTCTATGTTTTTTTTTCGATTTCAACTGCACAGTGGAAACAAGGATGTGGATAACTGACCATCAGCCGGAAAGGAATCTGCCCGATATCGCTGAACGTCTTACCTCCACGGTGTATGATGATTGAGAGAGGAAAATGCCGTGTCCAGTTCGTTGTCCTCGCAACGCTCATCATGGCTTACTACGAGTCCCTGCGATAATGCTGAATGTTCAGCACACTGCACAGAGAAGCATTGGGCGCTCTTTGCACCCACACATATCTTCCCTTCACTCATAAAATTCGTTTCATGGTCATAGATCCTTCCCTGTTTCCCGAATTCTCTGTTCCTCAGTCCACTTAATAACTGTGCACGCACGAATCTGTCCTCGTCGTCAACGCTGTAGTTGCACGATCGTGCTTTACACATCAACCCGGCGTGAAAAGCGACCGCCGTTTTCCTGCTTCTTTCTAGAAAAAAGCCTCGTGCTCTGCTGCCGTGTCCGTCATCGACCGTAGGTAGGTTTTGATGTTCGTAACGAAGACTCGGTAGCAGTCCAGGTTTGTCAAGCTTGGGTGAAGCTTTGCGCCTTTGCGGTTTTCACGATTCCTTGCAGTTCGTCGCCCATGGAGAGGAAGAGTAATTGAGTCCTCTTAATTGGAATATTAACTTTACCGAGCGAAACACCTATCTCGAAGTTTGCTAAGTAACGATTCCATTCCTCCCACATTTTATTGGCGGCGATGCCACTTGGGAACGGTTTCATGTGATCCCAGCGGATGCTGGAGGATGAACTTCCACCGACACTTGCATAAGCGTTTACTTCGCTAGAGAGGTTCCAGCTGTTATCAGCATTTCTAGGCATCGTCGGTCCAGAGTTTGACTGAAAGCGGCTCAGGGCGTCATTTATACCCGCGAGTATTTTCTCCATACGGTCGATCCGTTCGGCGTTACTGGTGTGTTCCAGTGTGTCCTGGCTTGCGTTTTCGGTGGGGATTGCTTCAGGGGTAGATGGGCTAACCGATGGCGATCTCGATGAATAAGCAGATGTACCATCCGAGTTCGATTTTTTGGCATCGTGTGTGTCGGTATCGGAGTCACTAGCATCACTTTCTGAGATGGTGCTGCTGTCGCTACTAGAAATCATCTCAGAGTCGATTTTGTTATCGATTTGAACATCTTCCTCAACGCAGCCGGTTGGTTTGTCAACCACTCCAACATACCTGCCGTTGCTCTCAGTCATATTTCTAGGATCTGCTCTCGGGTCCACGTGATCATAAGATCCGCAGCACGATTTTTTTTAATCCTCTCTGTTAATGCACAATGTGTCCGGTGCGCGATCGTAAGATCCGCTGCTAAGGGCATGTCATCATTTCATCAATGCGCGACCTTTCCGATCCGCGCGATCAATGCGCGACCTTTCCGATCCGCATTGTGCACAATCTCAATAGATTTGCGTTTTATGCATAAAAAAAATCGAAGCGCGATTTTTTTAATCGACTCAATCTAACCTAACCTTTTTTTCTATGCGGCGTTGAAAATTTTGGGAGATTCCTTTCCGGCTTCTAATCGAGGTTCAGATTTTTACGTTGCAGCAAAGGTTGGTTGTTGCAACTCCTGGCAGGATCGCCATTGTGGATAACTGACCATCAGCCGGAAAGGAATCTGCCCGATATCGCTGAACGTCTTACCTCCACGGTGGTTGATGATTGAGAGAGGAAAATGCCGTGTCCAGTTCGTTGTCCTCGCAACGCTCATCATGGCTTACTACGAGTCCTTGCGATAATGCTGAATGTTCAGCACACTGCACAGAGAAGCATTGGGCGCACTTTGCACCCACACAAAGGACAACTCCATGCCATAGGACGAGGTTATTATTTTTTTTATGATGAAGACCATAGTATTATTATTATTATTCGGTGTTTATTTTTATAATTGATGTGTTTGCTGTCCTTTTTATATTGTTTCTTGTATTTTGAAAAGATATGGGGTTTTTACGCCTGTTTCGCAAATATTTGCCAAATAGGCTTTTCCCCATCAATCTTCATTTAGACAACAAAGGTCCGATGAAGAGAATAATAAATAAATAAATAAATATTAAAAAAAATACACGATGACAAAGAATTTTGTGCTCCAAAAGTTCTAATCGGAGATAATTTAGCAAGTCATCTATCCATGCGTGTGTTGCAATCGTGCAAGGAATTCTATATAAGATTCAGATTTCTTCCACCCAATAGCACACATCTCCACTCAATCCACAACAAGTGATAAGAAAACTTCCAGATGCCAACAATGAAACCGAGGCTGAAAATTCATGGTCGAACGCTTTTGTCAGCGTTCTAAAGGAGGCGCGATTTCTGACATCCCCGCAAGTTGGACAGGTCCGTAAAAAGCGAATCCTCACTGAACACCTGGACAGACCGTGACTGCCGAAGACGTGATGGAGAAGACTGGTTTGAATTCTTCTCTTCAACAACAACGAAGCGCACAAAGACAACCAAAGTTGGACAAACTAACAACAACAGGAAACAGACTAAGCAACAAGTGCCTTCAGCTCATCCTCCGGCACCAAAAGCATCTCAGAAAAATCCAATTATCAAATTGTTTTAAAGGACTTGCAACACCCATCGTTTTGATATTTTCTAGTAAATTATAAAATGCAATATTTTTTTGTATATTTTTATTTTCGAGTATGAACACTCATTAAAACTATCGCATAGTACTAGAACAAAAAAAACTTGTTTTTGAAAAGTTGGGAAGAGAGAAACTTGAAAAGTGTTGCAAGTGACCCCGTTTGACGGTAATCAAGATTCCAAGAGCAATATTCGAGATATCAAACTTACAATATTTATTAACAGAATTCGATTAATATAGGTACAAAAGAAATAAGGTTCCAATCAAGTTATTTTCGGTTCCCGGTTCAGTGGGCACCCTGAGATCTTAACCAAATTCGTTTCAATTGGACATCGAAAGAGCAGTGGGCAGCAGGGGTTTTTAAAGCTGACCCACCCTACTGTGCATAGGCATAGACTGAGAAAGCTCTTAATTAACAACTTTGGAAGTGCGCAAAGAACACTTAGCTAAGAGCCGGCGTGAAGTCTCAGTGGGGACGTAATAAAGCCAAAGAAGATGTCTTAGGCTGGTTCTTGTCTTACCGAGTCCTAGTGTTTTAAAATGTAAAAAAAGAAAAAACTTACCAATCTTGTCACCTTTCGGGCGTACATTAACTACAGCCCCGCAAATTTCATCTGCACTTTCGAATGCCTCTCCTATAAGACACAATATCTGCGAATAACATAAAATAGCACACGAATAAGATCAATTTGAATCCATACAAGCAATCAACGAAACCGTACCGTATCCAACCAGTACTTGTCCAGCTCCTGGCGCTGCCCTCGAGGCACATTGACCATCCATCGACCACCGCGCTGGTTGCCATCGTCTTCCCACATCGGACGTACGCCCGTTTTGAACAGTGAATAATCGCTACCGGTCTTGATGTCGGCCGGGCTCTTGATGTGATTGTACAGGCTCCAAAAGTCTTCGACGGTCGAGAAGCTAGTCACCTCGTTCAAGGTGTCCTCCCACGATTTGCTGCGGTCCGGTTCCTGGTACCAGAGCGTCCAGGTGAACTGCAGCGGATGCTTGATCAGACATTCCGGATCTACCACGACACCCTGATCGGCGTGGTTCTGCTCAGTGCTCTCTGCCTGATTCTGTTGGGTTAGGAAGGAAGAAATTCGGATTAATATTGAAAGTTAATATAAAGAACAGTTTACCGACATAATCATCATAGGGATACGTGTAATCACAATCGTGGTGGTAATCATCGAGCGAACGGCGAACGGGGATGTAACTTTGAGATCCGGAGTGTAGCAGCTGCTTGTAGTAGCTGTTTAGGTTCATGCTCGCGATTCCACTTAGTAGCTTGGTGGTAGTGCTGAGGTTTCAGATATTATTTTTTTCTTTTTCCGGATAATCTTTCTTGGGGTTTTTCAGGTTTGATCTGCCCAAAAATTATGATTTGAATGACAGTTAACGAGCAAACTCTTTTCTTGGATTACTGCGATCGAAGACATACACCTATAGTGTGGGTGAGCCAGTAGTGGAGGTACTAGCCATTTTATTAATTAAACAATAAATATACTATGTACATACAATTGTTATACGTTAATCTATAGCTTTCAACCTCTATTTTGATTGAAAAATATTACACTGTAATAAAAGTGCATACAATTTTAGAAAACTCATCCTCCATTAATAGGAACACTGTTCCAGTAGTTGTGTTAGTTGCTAACTTTGATTTCTATAATAGTGGAATGCGTTGGTTTCTTATGGGTTCCACTATTATATGAACACTACCGTAACTATAGGTGCAAAGGAGTGAAAATATTAAGGAAAATTAATGATTTTCCGTAATTTTTGGGCTAATTTTAAGTTTGAAATATGCAAATATGCTTTATTTTAGGACAGCTACCGATAAAAAATAATCTTATCCGGGTCCTCCTCACTATTCCGGCACAACCTCCATACCGCAACTATAGGTACACCACTATTACTGGAACACCTACCCTATATAATAATTCTTGAAAACGAATATATGATTCTCTTTACATCCCCACGGCCATGTAAAAACATTTTCAATTCTTTTGAACACAGTTGGAAGAAGTAAACTATTGTCTAGCATACGACAAAAACGCCAAGAATCGGTTTTATAGCCAAGTTATTAACGAAAGAGAAAGTCGATGAAGAGATCAGACTTAAGACCTAATGCATTGTTAGACTTGGTGTTTAAATTAATTAAAATTATATTCTGTTGGTTACATATTTGGTCATGCTATAGGTATTAAGAACTCCTCCGATTGCCGTAGGTTTGTACCCTAACAGTATATTTTTAAGTATAAACTCTACCTTAACTTGGTATTTGCAGAACAAACTATGTATCAAGACTCGATAAGGTCTGTTTATTATTGCCTACTTACCAGTAATTAACTAAAGACTACCAAACACGCAATAATGCGAAGCGAGCAAACGAGTAATGCGTAGTATTTTCCCCGAAAAAGTCCTATAACAATAATTCCAAAAAAAAAACCGGCTTTCTTAAATCTTATTTCATCAAAACTGGCAACCCTCCCTTAAACGCAACCAAAAACCCCAAATCGACCATCATCAGTCGTCAGCCATCGCAAAAGGCGAAACAGGGAAAGCAAGGGACGAAAAATTAGCACCCGTCTCGTGAATGATTCAATATGGTTGCAGCAGCAGCAGTGACATTATGCAAAGGAGGACGAAGGATTTCCCCCGCAGATGAAAATCACTGCCATCGGTCCAAATTTCCGCAGCAGGATAACGGAACCCATTTCCATTCCACGCGCCGCCGATGGTTTCCAAAAAAAAAAAAAAAAAGCCACCACCTAGATAGGTTGTGTTGGAAGGAACCTTACCTCAACCTCTTCGTTCGATTTGCCAGCCATTGTCGTCGTCGCTGTTAACACACTTTCCCGGAAACAATGCAGATTACGCGAATGATAGTCCAGATGTAGCGGGTAGAAAATCACTCGTTAGCACTTGCCGGCTGCACTTTAAGTTGTGAAAAACGCTGTCGAAAATGGATCGTCGAGAAAATTGAAATTTTGTGTCACACACGCAGGGCACCGTCACTGAGCCCACCACCGCCGCACACGATTGAAAGAGGATGGAAAACGTCTTGGCAATTTCACTCGACGAAAGTGACTGCTGAAACTGACACGCGATAATCGAGGACCGCTGTGGTGGTGTGCGTGTTGTGTAATGCGAGAGAGGGTGATAAAAGTGCGGGGAAAGAGAGAGATAAATGACACTTGGCTGCGGCGTACAAAACTGAACGAAACCGGTGGCTGCATACCTGGGCGAGGGGCACTTATTTGACTAAATAATTGGGATGGCTGTATACACACCTAATTTTGAGTTCAAGTTCCAGCAAAATGAATTACTGAAGTGAATCCAGCAAAAGCAAGTTTTGCTGTAAAACCAGTAATCGGTATTATTTTGCTGATTGTTCCAGCTAACATAATTAAATGTCATAATCAAGATCGGTTCTATCGTTGGCAGCTGCGAGCTATGAGATAATTTTTCAGTCGGTTGAAAAATTAATAAGTGCGCACCATAAATTTATCACTAGACAATCAATAATGCTGCGGAAGTCATGAAGTACACAGCAAAAAAAGTTGTTGAATATTACATCGAAACTGCTGCAACCAGGTCAATCCATCGGTTGTGTAATATCACATTGTACGATGTACATCGATTTTGCGAACAAAATTACATCCATTGATGTAATATTGTATCTGCTTTTTGCTATTACATCATTATTTCATACATCAGCTTGAATTACGTTGATCGATATTACATTTTTTGTTGCTGTGTAAGCGTAAAATTCAAACTTTAAGCTGTTTTGTACCAAGGCTCCTTTTTATTTTTACAGTCAGGCAAAATTTCATCGGTAACCCATCAAGAGTGCATACAGCTGCATCGATTTTCGGTTTAAATTCGCGCAACCGAAATCCAGCACATAATGTGATGTGTTACACGAACATATTATCATATAATAAACTGAATTCTGATAAAAATGTGATTTCTGTAAAACAAAACAAACGAAAATTGCTCTTCTTCCAGCAAAACGATTGCCAATCCATTTTACTGGATAATCGGTACATTTTGCTGGTTTTTCAGTTAAGTGCTGTCAAATTAGCTCTGAATCAATTTGCTGGCCGTTCAGCAAAAACATTTTGCTGGAAGGATTGCTGGATTTCCAGCTCGGCAAAATCCAGCAAAATTTTGCTGGTTTCCAGCGAATAAAAATGGGTGTGTACGGTGTTTCGTGAAAACCCATTAATGGGTAAAAAAATACCCATTTTCAAACCATGTATGCAGCTGTCAAAAAATGGGGGAATTTTGAAATCATAAAATGGGTGAAAAAATACCCATTTGAAGAATCAGTTCACGGTTGCATAATGGGTATATTTTTTACCCATTAATGGGTGAAAAAACACTTCGAAATTTTATCGAAATTTTATATTGGGAATGCAAACCTCGATGCAAACAGACTGTCCGCAGCATATTTGGCGAAAGTAAACGATCTCCGGAAAATGTTAGAATCCAAAACGTTGGAGAGGCTTACGGATAAGTCAATACAATAGATAATTTGTATTATAATGTTTCGTGAAAAATTTGAGCGGAACACCTGCATTTATTTTCAATGTTTTAAAAACATTTTTACATCAACGAGTGCTTGCATCCTCCATTTGTAAAAATGGGTATTTTTTCACCCATTTTACGGTAAACACAATATAAGAAAATGGGTGAAAAAACACCCATTTATTGACAGACCACCCATTTACCCATATATGAGTAAACCATAGTTTACCCATTAAATGAGGAGGGGCACTTTTAGCGGAAATGGGTATTTTTATACCCATTAATGGGTTTTCGTGGAACACCGTGTACACACTCTTTTTCAAAACAACCCAGTGCGAAACCGAACCTTTTGACAGTGCGAACCAATTCGACAGCAAGCATGCAGAGTTGTAACAGGTTGTATTGGCTATCAAAAGCAACAACAAACGCACCGAGAAACGTTAATTCTAGCGAGTTATTAACAAAAGAGAAAATCGACGAAGAGAATCGATCATCGCGTTTACGCCCTTATGCATGTTCACTGTTGAATTGTGTATATACGGAAAAACGAATCTTTGCATTAATGACTATTTTTTAACCATTTTTAGAACTATGGCTTATATCATGTTATATAAGCTGTCTTGCAATGAGCACTCATACATAGGATTTCCAGTTAAAACTAGATGTATGAGTGCTCATTGCCAGACAGCCTATATTACTACATGATACAAGCCATAGTATGTACCGAGGTATGTGCGGAGTATAAACTTTATTCAATACTGGATGAAAAATAACTTGTATTTTCAAATTGTATAAATCAGCCATCATGATCAGTTGAATTTCGAAGCAGGTAGGTTGTGCTGTTGTTATTTTATAGTACGTTCAGACTACAGAGTTATAACATGTTGTAGCTTGATGGTTGTTTCTGTGTTGCAATTATTTGACAACCGTTACAACAGAGTTATAACTCTCCAGTGTGGACAGCGTTTTATTTAGAGAAACTATATCAGTATTGTTTTATACTTACAGATACCGGTTTATAGTGGCACCGGTGGTGTAGTGTTAAGAATGATTACCTCTCATCTCAGCAGGCCTGGGTTCAATCCCAGTCGACGCCGCCTTCCTTCGGGAAGTTGGTCACCGGTTCATGAGTTGATGGGTCGATAGGTAGGGTCCAGGTGTGGGAGCTGCCTCCATGGCGTCGGTAGCATTGGTGCTCAGCATGGAAAATAAAAATCGAGATCTAGGATCTAGCTTGTGCATATTTTCGATATAATTTGCCATGCTCATCTACCTTCTAGCTAAACAATTGTTATAAATTTATAGTAAATCAACCGTATCAGTAGCTTTCCGGCAATTGACTACTGACCGAATTATTTCTTTCATGCATACTTCGGCGCGCAACAAAGCGGCAACGGCTGACAGATTGCTCTTTTGTTTCGACACGTTTACTCAACATTGTTTGTTTAAATCTTACACCTAACAGTATAAGCTATCCAGTGCTGCCAAATATATCTAAATCATGATGCACAAGCATGAGAAATTACTATTTGAAATTTACTGCAAAAATTCGTCACGCACCCTGTACAGTAAACAACTGTGTTTAATGTTTTAGTTATCTTAATGATAGCTTGGCAATAATTATCCTTAAGTAATCATTTCATTTTATTTTTAGCGAGTTTGTGTGGGAGATATCGTAACAAAGGAAGAGAATCGGTGCTTTACCACTAGGTACTCTGTTTGTTTGTTTTTTTTTTTTTTTTTTATTGTAGTCACTTTAACACTCTTGGGTCATTTGTGACTTGTCCGGGGTGAGTTTTGAACTCGTGACTTTGGCGTGAGAGGTATGGATGTTAACCACTACGCCGGGGTCGCCCCCGTGTACTCTGTATTGTGTTTCGGTTTGTGCAGTTTGAAGTCGGCTTGGTTAGTTTTAGCTGGCTTTTATTTTATTATGGCTGAGCAATTGCAGCTTCCGATCGTTCAAGTGGCACCAGGTAATGCTGAGAGGCAACATCGATGAACACAACCGCCAGTGGGAATAGACGAGTGCACGGATGGATTTGAGTTCACTCACTCGACAAAAAGGATCTATCAACTTATGTGCACAAAACTTGTTAAGCGTTTTTCGTGCGAACCGAATTGATGAATTTACGCGAAACTGCACCAGTGCATGCGACCCCTAGGTTTGGATTCCAAAATCATAAAAGTGATGATGTACTAAAAAATATTCCATACGATCTGACAGATAGCAAAACGTCATTTTCATTTTCACATCATTTCCATCTGCCGGTCGATCGTAACGTAGATTCATCAATACGCTCACGCAAACTAACAACACCATCGAGCAGAGGAAATTCTCCCCTTCCCGATAGTGCTCTTGGTTTGCGTGGGCGTACTTCGGTTCTCGTGAAAAGGACCTAGCAAATTATTTACAAAAGTTGATAGGCTCTTTTCAAATGTTACGCGAGCATTATTCATGTGTTCATTTTTAGTAAACAGGGCCCCGCTGTTGTGTCAAAAAAATTAGAAAAAAAAATTAGAAAAAAAAAATTAAAAAAATTATTTAATGTTTTTTTAGATTTTTTTGAGAGGAATATTTTTCAAACACTCATAGTCGAATATCATATCTTTACACTCAAAAAATTCCACACGTCATCATCATGTGTCTCACACTTAATTTTGCGCTTATTGTGAAACACATCCATTTCATGTGTGAATCTTATGCTATGAATCATGCCTGAACACTATGGATTTGAATTGTGACACACTTGGATTCTATGTGCCTCATTTGGTGATATCAATAGCTTAACACATAATAGTTCAATATTCTACAATGTTCTGCTTTATCGACTTCTACTTTACCGACTCTAAAAATGAATCGACAAATATATAAACAAAACTGCCAGAGGCCAGAGTTTTCACATAACTTCTTAATGGGTCTGATTTGGGATTCGATCATGGACTGTTGGGGTGTGCTGCTGCTGGAGTCTTCGTTCGATCCCACTGTGCCACGGTTGTTCTCATATATATGAGGCGGGTTGATAGGATAAAGTTACAACTCTTGTTTTCGATGTTTACCTTTCTGAGCAAACAATTCACATCGCATTGAAATGCAAAACACATTAAATCCATCTGTTTTGAACAGTAGTGTGCTTCAATGTGGAATACACTTGAATAGATAGTGAAAGATTTTCAACATTTCAAAATTTGAAACATTATAAATTATCGTGTATAATACATTGAACGAAGGTGAAATACACTTAAAGTAAATGTGATTGTGCATTTAAAAAATCAAGTGTTTAAACACTTCGATCAAACGTGTGGAATTTTTTGAGTATACTTAGTTAAACTATTCGTGTCGTGTTTGCTTACATTTGTGTACGAATGAGATTTGCGAACTAAAAGCAGCACGATGCGAGCCACGAAGGCTTCGAAATTTAATCGAGGATTTTCTTCCCGTCCCAAATTACCTCCCAAGCTATTCGAAGACGGAGGATTATTTATCCACTCATAAATTCAATGGCACCATTTATTAAAATTTCCGACGTTTTTCTAAAAAAAAATATCCCTACTTATTTCTAATCAAATTTTTAGCTGTCTGTCTGTCTCATTCCGGTAGGTACGGATAGTTCCCCTATGGTTCTGATTATGGTTCATAAAAAAGTAAAATATTTCATTTTTAAACAATATAGTTTATCAAGTTCACGCAAAAATGGAATTCCTCGGAAAACGGTTTGTTCAAATCTATCCTGTCTGTGAAATTTTACCGAAATCTCAACATCTGAACTTTCGGTAAACAGTTCGGTGAAGTATTACCAGATTCCCTGTATTTTTTCACCGAATATCTATGAAAACCGAACCGAAAGTTTTCGCAGATTTCGGTGAAATAATCTTAGTGTGTGTGTATTTCACGGTGCATTTGCAACTTTTCGAGTATTAACAGATTTGTAAGTATCCAAACTTGGTTTTGGGGAATCTATGGCAGATCTTGGCCGAAAATTCGCCGTTGCGATTACCCGAATCCAAAAATTGGAATGTGTCAACAACAATTATTTGACAGTTGAGACATGCGCTGCGCAGGCGGTATGGTACAGTGTTGCCACTAACTTCAAAGATCATGAACATTTCTAACCATACCAAACAGTGCCAAAGAGTGAGCCAAGGTGTGCCCAACTGTATTTTTGGCACATTGTGCGGAGTGACCAACCCCTTGGTCTGATGGGACAAACTGGTTTGATGTTGTTTTCACATTTTTCACGATCAAAGTCTGTCACACCAAATTTTGAGTTCAAGTTCCAGCAAAATGAATTACTGAAGTGTATCCAGCAAAAGCAAGTTTTGCTGTTAAACCAGTAATCGATATTATTTCGCTGATTGTTCCAGCTAACAGAATTAAATGTCAAAATCAAGATCGGTTCTATCGTTGGCTGCTGCGAGCTATGAGATAATTTTTCAGTCGGTTAAAAAATTAATAAGTGCACACCATAAATTTATCACTAGAAAATCAATAATGCTGCGGAAGTCACACGAAACGAAAATTAATTATTTTATTCATGTGTTTCACTTATAATATAATACATTTTTGCCAAAACATCAGCCTTATACATTCCATAAGACAAACCACATAGGTCCTATAAGAATGCATAAAAGGTATGTGTGACCGCTTATACATTTCATTTGACACATGATCTTCATAAACTTTTTGCAAGGCGTCTGCTTATTAGTTGACTTATACATTTTATAAATAAAAAGCAATAGAAATTTGCCAAAAGGTATAAGGAGATTTCTATCCGTGCATGAAGTAAGCGTAAAATTCAAACTTTAAGCAATTTTGTACCAAGGCTCCTTTTTATTTTTACAGTCAGGCGAAATTTCATTGGTAACCCATCAAGAGTGCATACAGCTGCATCGATTTTCGGTATAAATTTGCGCAACCGAAATCCAGCACATAATGTGATGTATTATACACGAACATATTATCATATAATAAACTGTATGTATTCTGATAAAAATGTGATTTCTTTAAAACAAAACAAACGAAAATTACTGTTCTTCCAGCAAAACGATTGCCAATTCATTTTACTGGATAATCGGTACATTTTGCTGGTTTTTCAGTTAAGTGCTGTCAAATTAGCTCTGGATCAATTTGCTGGTCGTTCAGCAAGCAAAAGCATGTTGTTGGAAGGATTGCTGGATTTCCAGCTCGGCAAAATCCAGCAAAATGTTGCTGGTTTCCAGCGAATAAAAATGGGTGTGTAGTTTTACCATAGAGGTAACTCTAAGACCACTGGGTCCCGAAGAAAATCATTATTATTTTTGGCTCACTCAGTACCAGAACAACGGTCCCAAGCAGTCCCAAGCTATTTCACTCACCCCTGCATGTTCTGTATGAATCCACACACCCCTGATGTTATCTGTCAAACTTTCATAGCGAATCAAAACAAACATAGTGTAGTAATAGAATTTCAACTAGAATAGGGTACGTTAATCGTTTGCTTGGGACCAATAGGCTACTAAAGTGGTGAGCCAATTTAAAATCGTTAGTTTCGTATTGATTGTTGGTTTTACCACCAAATATAAAAATAAATCGAAGTAGATTTTTTCTTTACTTTAGTGAATTTTAGCCATTGGATAATTCTTCACTTTGCAGGAAAAATATCAGAGGTATAAGCAACAATCAATACGAAACTAACGATTTTAAATTGGCTCACTACTTGACTAGCCTATTGGTCCCAAGCAAATCGATTAACGTGTCCCATTCTAGTATAAATTCCAGTACTACACTATGTTTGTTTTGATTCGCTATGAAAGTTTGACAGATAAAATGAGGGGTTCGTGGATTTTCCTATGTTTCGAGGGTTGCATCGATTAGCTTGGGGCCGAAGAGACTACCAGAGCTGAACCAAAAAGTTGAGCTTGTTTCTTCGGGAACTTCTGGTTATAGAGTTACCTCTATGGTATAAGGCCTGCCTTGAAAAAAAAAAACATAGTTGAAATTTACAGAGTTTTGGTTGGACGACATTTAAAATTCGGGAAACACAGAAGAACAAACTAGACCATTGATATTGAGTTAACTTAATGACTAATACGAACAAGGCAGAGCTCCACCGTGGAAGGCGGTGCCCCCCCCCCCCCGTCCGGTAGAGATGTCCCGACGGCCGAAAGGATGGAATCAAACATTGAAAATAATCCATCGTCCTTCAGGAAGGAGATCAGGGTAGCCAGGATCGAAGTTTCGTCGCCCAGTATGTCACCGATATTCCCCCGAAAGGCCATAGTGTTGCTCGACGGTGGCTGGAATATTACAGACGACGCAGGTCTTGCGGAAAACTCCTCCGCCGAAATCGTGTGAGAGCCGGGTGTGACTTGTGCGAAGCCAACCATTCTTCTTGCCACCTAGCCTGCATGGAAGTTTCGACCCATCGCTTGACGTTCGGAAGTGGAACTTCATCGGTGTACCTGGCACCAGATGGTCCCGCCCGGCCAGTCTGTCAGCGTCGGAGTTGCCAGTGATGCCACAATGCCCCGGAACCCAAGCAAATACTGTGTTGGGGGCATTGGCGTAGCTAATGGGGGTTCCAGGGGGTCCAGGTCCCTCCCGAATTATATAGCCCTCCTCCAGAATTATCTAGGCCCCCTCCAGAATTATCTAGGCACCCTCAAGAATTATCTAGGCCCCCTGCAGATAAATTGTCTAGCTACGCCAATGGTTGGGGGGCATGTCTGATGATCTCCTGAATCCACGGATAAGTGGGCATGTTGGACCGGAGAGCAGAAATTACGTTGTGTGAATCAGTGAGGATTATGACTGGTCGGTCGGATGATGTGATTGCTGCTTCGAAAATCGCTGCTGTCTCTGTAGAAAAAAAAAAACAGAGCATTGTGGCGGTAGGCTCAAGCTCATTGGCGAGATCTTTCCCACAATGCCCATCCCAATTCCGTTGTGCGATGTGGACCCGTCCGTAAAACGGTGCGTATGCCTGGGGTACCCGGAGTTTAGCATCTCCGCGACGGAATGTCTGAGCGCCGTTGAGTTGTCTCTTGCCCTAAACTGGTCCTTAATTTGGCTTTCGATGTTTAACTATTTTCGATTGCCAATTTTTTCCTCCCACCCAGTGGCTCTTGGCTCTTGGGGGGAGGTCGGTATTGGCTGCTGTACGGAGGATTCTGTTCTCCTCCTCGAGGAGATAGATCCATTTATTACCCGATGTTTTTGCCAAGTAGGAAGCCGCTTTGATGGCGACTGCGGTGTCGATTCGAAACCGGAAAGGAAGTACCCCGACTTCAGTGCAGGCTGTGTCAGGCGGCTTCGAGGGCAGGAGACCTGAAACTACCCGGATGTAGCCGTTGTAAACCGGTGCAAGGACTTGCAACAGTTTATCCTTGGCCATTGCGGTGAGCTCCAGACCGTAGAGCAAACGGCTGTCAATAACTACCTTGGCTACATGCAGCCGGATAGCTCGGTTGTTGGTGCGGTGCGGCATGGAGATTGTTTTGATAAGGTTTATGCGGGTCTTGCAACTATCCTTAACGCTGTGGAAGTGTTGCGTGAAGGTTAAGTGTCGATCAACTAGAACGCCCAAGATGCGTATCGTTTTTTTTTCAGGGGTGTCGGTTGATCCCCAATCTTGATAGAAGCGCCGCCGACTCGGTGACCAGTAGCGTAGACGTGATAGCGGATACTCTTTGCTGCTGAGAGTTGGAACCCGGCTGAGACCGCCCATTTGGCAACTGCCGATACAGCTGCTTGTGCCTAAATAAAAAGACACTTGATTTCTTTCAAACTCTCTCGAAAAACAAACAGATCCGCCCAACTCTGTTTCGAAGAGATAATTTATTTATTGAAAAATCCAACTATCACTAAAATATTATTAAGTATAACAAAGAAGAGGTGAAATGATTAGCTTTTTTGATTTGATATAGTTGTAAATGTCCTCACTATCGCCTGCATTCTTCCACACAATAAAGTATAATGATCATGTTTGTCAAAACATCATCGCCTTTCCTATTTTCCTTTATCAACAATATGGTAATCGAGGTGTTAATGTGAATAAATAATAAATTTAACGGTAAAAATATTCGTTATACGATACTGCTTCGGAAATAAAATACAAAAAAAAAACATATGGTTCTGATATTAACAATTCTACATTCAAGGGTACTTTTCTGCTTGCTTCTTTTCTTCTCTCTAGCATTAGGATTATCTTTAGTAAATGTTAAATCAATCTGCTCTGATAGAGTTATCTAATCATATATTTTCATTTTTTTTATTCGTTTAAATACAGTTTTCTTCATTTCGTTGACCGCCTAGTTATAGTAGTAGTAGTAATAATTGATTCCTTCTTTCTCCTGGTTTCTGCTTAATTTTACGATTATCAACATATAACATAAAGAGGAAGGAGATAAGCGATCAATGTTAAGGATAAATTTTCTTTAAGAAAGCATTTTTCTTCATTCTACGTTTTAAATACTTTATTTTGTGTTTCTATTTTTTTTTTGTTGATTCTGTAAAAGCCGCTAAAAACTAGAACGACAATTATTTTAAAATTTGTCACATTCTCATTTTAAGGTGTAGGTTTGATGTTTGTTTCTTAGTTTGTTCTTTAGTAAAAGGCAACTTTTGTGAATATAGGCCGTTCCCGCTAATCTCGTGTGTGTGTGTGTGTTGCTTTGAAAGTGTCACAATAAGGATACAGTTAATAAAGCCCATAGCGTAACCATTGTAAACTCAATTTCACTGCGTATTTTGTTTCATTAAAATATATTTCTGATTCTCTAGGAAAAATACTTCATCCCTGTTGTTTTAAAAACATTCACTATGACAAACACTCTAGGACATTACCGTGTGTATAAGGAAATAAACTTTGAAGCCGAAAATCAAACTGTTTAATCAGTGTTAAAAATAGCTAAATGTGGAGAATAAATAATCTTTCGGGTTTTAAGCAAAAGCTGAAAACAATGACGCCGCATAGTGAAAACTTATCCCACCGCAAAATGGCCATCTGTCCGTCACTTTGACAACTTGTACACTGTGAAAGACTTTGCTACACTTTTTGACATATTTTGTATTTCTTCTCTACAATGAATATTTTTTCATTCATTTTCAATTCCTTAACACATTGTTGTTTTTTAGAATATCATTGTGTTGTGTTTCGTTGTTTGTTACTTTAGTTGATTCCGTTTACAATTTAGAGAGGGAGTTTACCGCAGACAAACACATACATAACTAGGTACGTTCGCCATTCATTCTGGTTTTAAATGTTCATAAGTTGGCAGTACGATTGAAAACATTGAAGATGGGTTAGACCTATTTGTCTGCGGTTTTACTATAGGTTGGTTGTTTAATTTGTTTTCGTGTTGTTTTCTACATGTGTGTGTGTGTGTGTGTGTTTTTTTTAAATTTGTGTACATATGCTTACGAAGTGCCACTGACCGGTGTTGTAGTTGTTGGTGTTGTAATTTCTTACATCAGTTTTTGCTTGGCGCATTCCGGACAGATGACATCCTGTTCGTCGGTAATGAAACCGCGGCCGACCAGTGACGTTTTGCAGATGGCGCAGATGAAGCAATCGTTGTGCCAGTGACGGTCCTCGAACGAGATGAAACGGGTACCGCCGATTCCTGTGAACGAAGGTGAGTAAGTAGGTTAATGGCTATGTCACAAGCTTTAATATTAAACGCAGTAGATAACATAGTAGGAATGAAACCTAGAGCCCTCTAGTAAAAGTATGGCCATCTGCCAAAAGCTGTTCCGATCGAACTGTTAAAATGCACTGCTTTGGTCGATTGGAACAACTTTTTACAGTGTTCTGGTTTCAGTCGTTCATACTTGTATGGCTTTAATGAAGCCACCGTACCATAGAGGTAACTCTAAGAGCAGAAGGTCCCGAAGAAACGATCTCAACTTTTTGGCTCAGCTCTGGTACTATCTTCGGTCCCAAGCTAATCGATGCACCCCTCGAAACATAGAAAAATCCACGAATCCCTCATTTTATCTGTCAAACTTTCATAGCGAATCAAAACAAACATTGTGTAGTACTAGAATTTCGACTGGAATGGGGTACGTTAATCGATTTGCTTGGGACCAATAAGCTAGTCAAGTAGTGAACCAGTTTCGAGAACTTAAAAAAAAATAAAAAATTGAGAAGATTAAAGAACTTTAATGCTGATATTCCATTTATTATAATCAGGGAAGTTCCGAGTACTTCGAGGATGATCAGAAAACTTCGAAACAATCCCATTAACTTCAGGATAATTGCAAGAACCTCGAAGGAGTTCCGAGAGGGATATTCCGAAGTGCAATTCAGGAATGTTTTGAAAACTTCAGGGATATGTTATGAATATAAGGAAAATTGCTGGATAATTAGAGCATGTGGAAATATTGTGCTTACATCCCACAAAAATCAATTTCCTTCAGATTTTTTCCCTTCTTCTCCTTGGAGTATCTTGCGACTGTTCCTTAAGCCCACTGGCTTCGGACTTTTTCCAGAAGTTTATTTCAATCTACTTTAGAAAGTAGCGGCGCCGGTGGTGTAGTGGAAAGCGTGATTACCTCTCACCCCAGCAGGCCTGGGTTCAATCCCAGTCGGCGGCGCCTGAGGCATAACATCTATGATCAAGCCTTCCTTCGGAAGGGAAGTAAAGCCGTTGGTCTTTGGTCTATGCCTTGATGGGTCGATAGGTAGGGTCAAGGTGTGGGAGCCTCGGTGGGAGCTGCCTCCCTGGCGTCGGTAGCATTAGTGCTCAGCACGGAAAACAAGATCGATGGAAAACAAATCAAGGAAAAAAATACCTTAGAAAGTTTTTTCCAGTGTCTCCAAGAAGTTTTTTTTCCGTCTTCTCCAGGAAGTACAATTAAAGTTCTACCAGATGTTTCTATCGAGCTCTCTAAGAAGTTTCTTTCGTCTTCCTCTGGAAGTTTCTCCATATGTTTTTTCTGACTTTATTGGAAGGCTTTTCCGAGCTACTCCTGACTTCCCCTGGAAATGGTTACCCGTGGAATTGGCTTATTATTTCCAAAAGTTTGCTGGCTTCCGATTTTTTCGGAAAATTTCTAAAATAATTCTAAATATTTGTCTTGGAAGATCCCCATCGAAAGTTTTTCCAATATTTCTGAGAACTTCCTTCAAACTTCCTCCACTAGAGCTTATAGGGTGTCCCAGAATGTCTATGCACGACTTTGGAACACTCCTGCTTGTTTCAGATGACGTTTTGTAAAAGTCATCCTTTTGGTAATACGTAGAAATTCTATTATCAATATAAACGTTAGGCTAATCAATTATTATAAAATGTCACATGGAATTACACCTATGCCATCAATATACTCTCTTTAAATCGAACGCCGCGTTGCACACGCAAACTCAGAACATCAACATTTAAAACACCTGCTCCGCTGTAGGGGAGTAGAAGCAACAATCAATACGAAACTAACGGCTCGCTACTTGACTAGCCTATTGGTCCCAAGCAAACGATTAACGTATCCCATTCTAGTCAAAATTCTAGTACTACGCAATGTTTGTTTTGATTCGCTATGAAAATTTGACAGATGAAATGAGGGGTTATTCGTTTTTCCTATGTTTCGAGGGGTGAATCGATTAGCTTGGGACCGAAGATAGTACCAGAGCTGAGCCAAAAAGTTGAGCACGTTATCTCGGGACCTTCTAGTCTTAGAGTTACCCCTATGGTAGAAGCAACAATCAATACGAAGCTAACGATTTTAAATTGGCTCACCACTTTAGTAGCCTATTGGTCCCAAGCAAACGATTAACGTACCCTATTCTAGTTGAAATTCTATTACTACACTATGTTTGTTTTGATTCGCTATGAAAGTTTGACAGATAACATCAGGGGTGTGTGGATTCATGCAGAACATGCAGGGGTGAGTGAAATAGCTTGGGACTGCTTGGGACCGTTGTTCTGGTACTGAGTGAGCCAAAAATAATAATGATTTTCTTCGGGACCCAGTGGTCTTAGAGTTACCTCTATGGTAGAAGTGCGTTCGTTAAAGTACTCTCCCGGTTTGCCTGGGATCGGGATTAAAGCCGAAGGTCAAGTTCATAGGACGGCCTTGAGAAATGGGGTGGGGAATTTGAAGGTCGCCTTGACGGGTACTGGTGGGAGCGAGAGGTCACAGTCAGAAAAATGCTATCAAAACCAGACCCGAGTTCTTCGTGCGAAGCGGTGAGTTTTTCCAGGTTTTTATCTGAGGACTAACACATTTCTCGCCCGTTTTGCCTGGAGTTGTGAAACGTTGTAGAAGGATTGTGATATTGGTCGCGTATAGTCTAAAGTGATTCTTTAGACAGTGTTAGATTCGATCGCCCAAGTTACTCTTCAGGGTTCCTTCCATTCATTTCGGCTAAAAAAATGTTTTATTAAATTATGGAATAATAAGATATTATGATAATAATTGGTTTGCGTAAGCAACAAGACAAGATTGTAAAGTTTGTGTTTGACACATAAAACTTGCAAATTTAGCTTTGAAAGAGTCACATTGAGTGGTTTTCTGATCGCCTTTTCGCGAAGAGTGAAGAGCGAAGAGTGGGTGAGATAAATGACAAAATCGCTTATTGCGACTCTCATGTAGCAAAATTGGCAGGTATTATGCGTCAAACACAAACTTTACAATATTTTCTTGTTGCTTACACAAACAAAATATTATCATAATATCTTATTATTCCATAATTTAATAAAACATTTTTTTTTTGCCGAAATGAATCGAAGGAACCCTGATTCTCTTCCACAACTGGTGAAGTAAAAACCCAATCAAGAAAGCATTGCGACTGCTTTATATCCCGGATTTAGGAAATCCACTACTTCCGGATAGTTTGCTGTTTTTGCCATAGTGTGTCAAAAGAGGGACCGCATCGTCAACATCACGCCCTATCAAAACGAAACTGCCCGTTGACGAAGTTTCCAGTGTTCGACCGTCAACCAATCAAACGCACTGGTGAGTGGATGCACCATTGCCCAGCCGAGCACAAGGACGCACCGCTAAATCCAGCTAAACCAAACCACCGAGGAACAAAGAGCCTCGTTTCACAATAGCCGGTGGACTCATCGCGCGCAACCAGGGCTGTCATCTGATCACTCAATGCGCGCAATGTACTGATTTTCTGAAATAAACAAAGTGAGAATCAAGCAAACACAAAGTTTGCTATTCTTTCACCCTGCGCAAGTGTAAAGCAGCGGAAAAGAGAGACAGAAACACACCAAGAAATAACGAAAGCTCAATGTGTAGCTATCGCTCCGACGGCTCCAACACAAAGAGCGCCACTCAGTGTAGGGTTGCAAATGGGAAACACAGCAAAAAGACATAATTATTCTTCGTTATGCCCTTCTTCATCTCCTATGCATGCAGTCGAGGTAAGCTAATAGCGTATTTGTTTATTATCCAGTTCCAACCTGGATTGGGTATCAAGTTAAGCTGGGTTTAGACTAGGCAAGTCAAATGATCAACTCAGTTGAATTCAATTGGCTTGAAAAGTTGAGCCTGGTTCAACTTTTTTCAATTCAAGTGAGTTGATCAAGTCAGTTGAATGCCATGGTTTACACGTTCAATTCGCGTTCAAGTCAGTTGAATTCAACTGACTTGATCAATTGACTTGCCTTGTCTAAACCCAGCTTTAGGGTCTGCTTGTTTTCTAGCAAACGTCACTTTGATCGTTTGTGTTTATAACTTGGCACAGGTCGACTTACGCACTGACAAAAAGTTCGGGTTTGCACTTGGTTGGAACTGGTTCCAACCTGGGAATAAACAAATTCGCTATAAGTCTTCAAAGAACTCAAAGAAGACATTAGCCTTGTTGTATAATATTCGCTCCCTGCGCCGCACGGAGTGTACCGCTCATTGTGTGGATCGCTTTCTCGCAGATTAGTTGAAAAAGAGTGTGCGAAGTAAGTGGGAGAACCACACACTCTTTGTCGAGTGTTGTGAAATGCATGCACAAAGTTGCTATGCTAACGCTCTGAGGCGCTTTCCAGCCCTACGCGCAACAATAGCGACAGCCGTCGCTTGATCACGCAGGTTGCGAGGGATTTTACAACGCACCGGCGACCGCATGTAAGCCGTCAAAGATCGTGAGTAACCGCTATTTGTAATCCGTGACATCGGGTGGGAATCAGTTTTTAAGGGGTAACTAGAGGGAACACACGCTTTAGGTAGGAGAACTAAACTAGGCCTAGTAAAATTCCTTGTGGTGAGGAAACCGGAATAAATGTACGTTATGAATTGACCACTTTGTCAAGCAGTTTTGGCGTGACTTTCTACCAGTGATTCCACAAAATTGGACCAACTAATTTCTATTTTTTTATGAAACGCACAAATGTTGGCTACTTTTCTCGTGGTCCTAGAAGAAAAAATCTCAAAATAATGTTTTAGTTCAAAGTTCGAGTGGTAGTAAACGTCATTTCAACTGCTCGAATGAAGTGGTTAATAAGAAATTGATTTTCTTGTAAATTTGCTCGAAAACCTACCTACATGACGTTCTAGGGATTAAAGTTCACTTGAGGAATTGGTGTTTCATTCATTTTCCATGAATGGTTTTCACCCCTGTTGTGACGGTTTCGCCATCTCAAGGATTGTGGCGGAAACTACCAGTGATGAGAAAGCTTTAGTTGTG